TTTTGTAGATTGATGTTAATACAGTAATGTTTGAGTGCCACTTTTGTGACTGCTCAAGGTGGTGTACCTGTTGTTAATGCATCACATGTTCAGCCATTGTTTTGTGCCAGTGCTGGTGACAATACCACTTTGTCCAGTGGGAAAGCTGGCCTCACATTCAATGAGGAAACACTTTATCAAAGGGGAAAAAAATGGAAATGAGCCACTACCTATGGCTTCAGATTAAATTAACCTCAAGAACTCAGAAGCTTCAGTGACTCCTATGCAGCATCTTGTGCTTTAATATCTGTGCTGTATTAATGCAAAAAATATTGATTTGGCACCTACTATGTATAATGCAGTATGTCCTTATTCTGATTAACCTAAGATATAAAAGATGAATACCTTCTATTTTTTGCCCTCAATAAACCTAGGAAAAGAGATGATGCATATATAGAATTATCTTTAACAGCAGGAAGCAGTGGTGTATGCTGTTGCAGACATAGAGATTTAAAAAAAATGTGGTGAGATATCAGAGGAAGGGGAAGTTGCAGTTTTACCTGAAGGGCCAGGAGAGTATTCATGAAGGAGGTAAAATTGGAATAGAATCTCGAGGAATGTTTAGGATTTGAACATATGGAACTGGGTTGGGGTAATTTTAGGGAGGAAAAAAAAAACTACATAAACCAGCAACAAGAGAGAGAAATACTGAGATATATTTCGCACAGAGGGGTCTCACTAGAGTTGCAGGATCCATGAACAAGAGTCTTGGGTAGAAAGTTATGGTTGTTCACAGTGCAAAGGAGGCTCAAGACTGAGAGAGATTGTGAGGTTTGGTAAATAAGGTAATAAGCTGGCCATAGGGCATCGAGACAGTTTGATCTGACGGCAATTGATACGTTGGAGTGAAGAGGGTAGTAAGCAAGGATTCAAAGAATGACTAGGAACCAGTAGCATAGTCTTTGAGAATGCATTGGGAGCAAGAATCACTGTCGTGGCCATGGGCTGAATAGGGAGAGACACCAGGGATGCAGTATGGAATAAATGTTCACAATCCATTGAACACGAGGGGGAAAGAGATGCAGAAGAGTCAAAGACTGATATTGTAAGGAAATAGGTGAGTTTGATTAATAAGATAAGGGGTCCTGTGTAAGCTATCTTGTATGCAAAGAATCCACAAGAGTTGAAGAATAAACAGCCCATGAACAATTAGCAATGTACATCCGAAATAAATATAAAAATAAAACCAGAAATGGAATTTTACTTTTTTTTTTTGGGCGGGGGGAGATAATCTGAATGGATATCATAGTTGAAGTATCTTTGTTTTGAGTTTTCAGTGGTTTATTACTTTCCATGGCTTACTACTGAGGAGAGAAGAAATCAAGGCCAGGGTTAGAATCATGGGAACGTCTACACTAACAAGGGAGAGCATGGAAAGGAAACCCCACCCCTCACCAAAAAAGACCTCCAAGCAATCAGGAGTAATCAGAGGCAACTGAGGTGCAGAGAGCCAACAACCAGGTGTGGGTAGGTGGGCTCAGAAAGGCTGTGCCCGGCTAGCAGAGGTAATTTTGTTGAAATCTACAAATTTGGCTTTTAATGGAGGAAGGCTTACTTAACTATGGCCAAAAACATACATTTCCAAAGCAGAGTTCTTTCAGTATTTACCGAAATGTTCCCTGGCATGAACTGCTACTGCTATTTCACAGCCACAGGCTCCTAATATCCTAGCAGAACATGTTATCAGTGGACACTGCTGCTTACTGCCCTGGAAGAGCCCTCACTCACAAACATAATGGGTGCTTTTCCTAGGAGTTCTCTAAAAGCCCAAAGACACGTTAGGGGTTTTGGCTTCACTATCCCCCCGCCCCGCTAAAGGAAAAACTGCACGTCTGCAGGTCCAGCAAACACTGCTTCTTTTTGCATCCAGACCATCTGCTGTAGACCAAGGGTTCTTCATCTGAGGCCACTGAATATCCTGGCCAGATATAATTTTCAGTTATCCATGTGTATGTATTTTTCTGAAAGGTTGATTTACCCTTCTCCTAATTTTTAAAAGACTTATTTTCTTAAAAAGGTAAGAACCAGTATAATACATTTTATACTCCAGCACAATGATGTGAGTTTCCTGAGGACAAAAGCCTGTTTCTATGTATTTTCATATGTTGGTATTACCTCTGTGATCTTGGCTGAATTCATAGATAATGGTGCTATCTTAGATGGGCCAACAGCAATGATAAAATGCTCATCTTAGTTCTACAGCCTCTTTTTTGTCTTGGCAACTATGCCTACAAAATGTATTTTCTCATAATAATGTTCACCATTAATAAAACTTGTAGCTTAAAATCAGTAGCTCACACATTTTTTGTAAAATAGTTTTGTGAGGTAGGGACTTTCCAAGTTTTTAGAGAATGCACGTGACTTGTTGAAGGCTATACAGCATAATATCAGACCTGGGACTTAAATCCAAGTCTTGTTCTCCAAGTTGCATATCTTCCTGTTTATCCAAACACTGGAGAAGGAGTTTACTTTAGTGGTTGAGGCACTGTCAAGTGATTTAAGCTCTAGTCCTGGCTCTACAACTTCATATGACATTGCCAAGTTCCTAACATCTCTAAGATTGCATTTCCATTTATAAAATGGGGGCAGTAAGAGTTCCTTCTTAAAGAGCAATTACAAAGTTTAAATAAGATATATTCTGTAAGTATGTGTAAAATGTTAGCTATGATTATCTCATGATGTTTCATTTGTAAATAAAAATGCCTATAAACATATGATAGGCCTACCTTTGTGTTCTGGAATGTATTAATTGGTCATTGATCGGGATTTTTTTGGTTTTTATGAAGAAAATATTTTTGATAGCCTGAAACATGAGCTTGTCCTAAAGGCAGTAATTTCTAAATAGCTGTCTTATTGACTAACAGAAACAACTGTCATATAATGAATTTAGTTTCTTTGTTTTGTACTAGATAATAAGTAGTGTTAAATGAGTAATGAGGCCTAGGTTTGGCCCTTCAGCAAAGATGGTATAGTGCAGTGATTAAGATGATGGGCTTTTGAATCTGACTGGATTTGAATTCTACTAAGTAGCATTACAATCTATGCACTAAATACTAGATATGTCTTAAGTCCTTTTATAACTTACGGGAGGACTTGTTAAATTTCCTCCTGAACCTAGAGAGAGAAATTTCCATCTATTCTATTTCTATCTAGTCCTGGAATTTTCTGGAGCACAAAAAAAAAGTGAGAATGCTCCAGCAACTGCAGCCTTCCAATGATGGTAGGCTCTTAAGACCTGGCTTCTGTCCCAGGGCTGCATGAGGTACATAGCTTGCCCTGCCCCAGTAGCAGCCACTCCATTAGCAGCAGGGGTTGTAAGAGTCCATATTGACTCATGCCTTCATATACAAGCTAGAATTATTCAAATCTAAATACAAAAGCAGGAAGGTAAGGGTTAGGGGAGAGGACCTTGGGAAAAATAAATAAATAAGTAAATAAATAGATGCCTCAAACTCGAAAATGTGAAGAACTTATAAATTGACCAGGCAGTTCTCTGAAATTGGAATTTCAAACATTATAGGACTAATTAGGATCTTCTGACGCAAAACCCTGTTGGAAATAAACTGTTCTTCAGTTAAATGTGTATGGACTCTCTTATTTGATTAATGGAGGAGACTGTTAATGCCGAGTCCTAATTAAAATGCAGTTTTCCTAATGTGTTTATTCAATGGCAGTTTATGTATTATTTTAATGATGAGTTTCAAAACTGATCAAGAGTAAATAAGTTACTTAATTATTTGAATAAACAGTTCTGCTTTCCAGATGCCTGCAGTGACAGAGTGGGAGAATACAAGGAAAAGGGGGGATCCTGTCCCCAGTGTGTACTGGTCAGGCTATTAGTGGAGAGACAGGGCTGCTAGAATACTGGCATGTTGAGAGGCAAAAATGAAACTCAGAAGGATCGGGGAATAATGTTTTCTTTTCCCAAGGGAAAATGGGACTTTGATGCCCTTCTGTTTGGTTCTAGAATTGTCTAATCCTGATAGTTAGAAATGCTCATTTCAAAAACAACCACCAATTGGTTAGTATAAGCTGAAATGGTAACATAAGCCTGAGTATTAAAGGACCATTTTGTAGCAAGAATTCAACTTCATTCTCAACTTTGGCTAGAGGTTCCTCCCTGGCCAAAGATTGTCACTGAAAACAGTAACCTCATAGGGAACCAGCACGTGAGGAACAATTCACAGGCTTGTGTTGAGTCTGCGCCTTCTCTATTTGGTTATCACTTTCCATGAGTTCTGTAACCTGGGCAGAATAAACTGAGACTTGTGGCATGGGTGTGTCTGATCTCTTTTTATCAACTGATAACCTAGTTGTAAGGTGTATTTATTTAATAAATTGTAGTAAATGGGTAAAGCAACATTTTCAAATGCCTAATTTCACTAGTTCATCTCAAGCCCTGTAAACATTTTTGGAATTTCATTACCCTTGTCCTAGAACTATGTACCTTATTAGAAGCTAGGATAAGTTGGTTCAAAATCATGATCAAAATGTGTGGTGAGGCTATGAAGTTATTAAACTAGCCTCACCAAGCATGACTTTAGAATTACTTGTATATGTATTTTTACTTACTCTAAATTTCATGAAGGTGAGGATCATGGTTATCTTGTTCCTGAAAGAATCCTCAGAACTTAGCAATGTTATTTGTTTATTTGAATATTAATTGAATCATTAGAGGTAGGACTTTCGAGGTTGGGGGATTAACTTGGTGGTGGAGCGTGTTGCTTGGCATGCATAAGGTTCTGGGTTCAATTTCCAGCACCAAAAAACAAATAAAGAAAAAGAAGGACTTTCCAACACATCCTTTAATGAGGCTTTGTTTTATAGTTATTAATATTATGAATGTTTAGAAATGTTTGGCTCACTTCACAAATTTTCCAAGAAATAATCTCTTATATATTTACCTTATACTCTATAGCTTTGAGATAACTGGCAATAATATGCAAATTATTGTTTTTTAGGCTTGAACCTATTCCAGTATGGCTTTCCTTGGACTATTCTCTTTGCTGGTTCTATACAGTGTGGTGGTAGGGGCCACTTTCTCTGAAGATACCATTGCTGAGTTGTCAGTGAATATGTATAACCATCTTCGAGTCACCGCGGAAGATGAAAATATTCTCTTCTCTCCATTGAGTATTGCTCTTGCCATGGGAATGATGGAACTTGGCGCTCAGGGGTCCACTCTAAAGGAAATCCGCCATTCAATGGGATATGACAGCCTGAAAAATGGTAAGTGTGCTTGAGTTTGATTTCTCAAGATGGTTTGGCTTTATCTTTGAACTCAATTATGTTGTCCTATGTCAGAGATAGCAATGTTTTACTCAGGGCAAGAAATGATCTTATGAGATGACATGGCCAACTTGGAGGATTAAGAAGAAAGAAAGGTTAATTTGCTAATTCCTGACTCCATCTTGGCTGAGTGAATCTAGGGAAATTCTTTCTTTTCAAAATTATTATCATTTCAAAAAACCCCAAAGTGATATAAACAAAAGCAAAAATAATTCTGGAGTTTCCTATCTAGAAAGGCCTGTATTCATCAATTATGATACAAATGAATGCAAAATGACAACTGTAATAAGTGCGATGAAGGCAACTTGGTTTTCTGAGAATATCAGAAATTTTTGCTTAAAATCAACTTTATCCTTACTGTATAAATAACAATAATTGTTTTGAAATGCTCTATTATTATTAAACTTATATGTATTAGAGAAAATTTCTAGCCAAAAGATATTTTATAGTCATTTTGATATGATGTGTGATGTCTAGTGTAAGTTTTCTAGTGTATATATGAATTAATTCATTAAAAAGTTAAGAACGAGGGGCTGGGGTTGTAGCTCAGTGGTAGAGTGCTTGCCTAGCACTGGTGAGGCACTGTGTTCGATCCTCAGCACCACATAAAAATAAATAAAATAAAGGTGTTTTTTTTTTTTTAAAGAAAGTTAAGAACTAAAACAATTTCCAATGTATTTTCTAGTTACAAGATTTGAAAAGTCCTATGAGAGTAAAATTTAAAGGAATATCTTGAATTTTAAACTAGATAATTAAACTTAGTGCTTCTGATAATTTCAAAATAAAATAAGACTCATTTAATGAGAGTAACCTGAGTACTTTGAGACAGAACTTAAAAAAAAACACTCTTACTTTGTAAATTCTAGCAAGATAATGAAATATAAAATAATATTAGTTGAGAATATTAAGCTGCAAAAAGTTAATTTGAACATCTAGAACTGACATAAGCATTGGAAACACTTTACCATTGCCAATGTAGAGAGCGTTCTGCTGTTTTTTCCTTGGGTCCCTGTTCTCCTAATGTCCTTTGCTGGGTTGTAATGTTCTTTCACTATCCTTGATCTTTTGCCATGTTTGTTCCACTAACAAATTTGTCTTTGTCATCTTGCAGGAGATGAACTTTCTTTTTTAAAGGATTTTTCAAACATGGTAGCTGCTGAAGAGAGCCAATATGTGATGAAAATTGCCAATTCCCTCTTTGTGCAAAATGGATTTCATATCAATGATGAGTTTTTGCAAATGGTGAAAAAATACTTTAATGCAGAAGTAAATCATGTGGACTTCAGTCAAAATGTAGCTGTGGCCAACCACATCAATAAGTGGGTGGAAAATAACACAAATAGTATGTTCTTTCTTTCTCTAATAGCTTAGTTTTAAGCACCTTTTATTTCTGAAATTATCTGTCCCCTCACTCCTTTCACATTTTGAATGTTAGATAGCATTGAGTTGGGTATGCAATGACAATTTTGTGTAGGCTACAGTCCATTTTAGAGATATTGCTTATGAATGAACACTAAGGAAGAAGTCAGATCTTTAGGCATTGGAAAGGATTTGGGCACTAATCACTTGAAATCTGAGCTCTTACTGATGGGTTTCTGAATAGTAATGGTAAGTACTATATGGAATGTTGCTTGAGCTGACTAATAAATTATTATTAGATTAGAATGGCAGAGGTTACTCTTAGCAATATGATTAAAATAGAATTAGTTAAAATCAGAATTCAAAGATATTTACTGGCTTTTGAACCACAGAAATTGATTGATTATAAAACAATTTGAGTAGGATTTATTTTTTTAAAAGCAGCCCAATTTTAGCTGGAAATTAGAAAAAGATATATTTTATTTTAAACTTCATTTCTTATATGTATTTAAGATTTCCAGATGTTTCATATTTTAACCATTTTATTTTCTAGTTTTTTACCCACAAAAATAAATGAAATTAAAATCTAAAAAGACTAATTAAAGGTAATTAGCTGTTCATTACATCAATTCCCCAAATAATGGTAATCTAAAATTTAAGTTGGAAACAAACAAACAAACAAACAAAAACCCTAATCAGATACACTGAACACCATAATTCATAAAATGCCGAGACATCCTGTACCTTAAGAATTGCTATGACCAGGGGCTGGGGTTGTGGCTCAGAAGTAGAGCACTTGCTTAGCATGAATGAGACACAGGGTTCGATCTGCAGCACCACATAAAAAAATAAAATAAAGACATTAAAAAAAATAAGAATTGCTATGACCAAGAAAATGAGAGACTACAGAGCAAGTTTTGGTCCTGTTTTTGAATGATGAGATTAAAATGTAGAATAGAAGATATGAATTTTAGTGGTTTTCTTTTTCTTTGTCTTTTTTTTTTTTTGGCATTCAGATAATAAAAGCAAGAATAATAACCTACCTGAAAAAGGTTAAATTATTAAAATCTGTCAGTTTTCAAACTCTTTTAGACACATTTAGCAAACAGCAAAGACTCAATATCTTTCAAAATCGATTTGAGCATTTCAAAAGATAGGAAACAATGCATCATGAGTTCCATTCGCTTTGGCTCATTTGATGTCACCTCGTCAGGTGCAGTTATTGCATTGACAGGAAGATGTCCAGTATTCTCAGGGAGAAAGTTTGGATTGGATAGCATTTAATCAGCTGTTCACCCATACATTTAGAAACATTTGAGTGCTTACTTTGTGTCAGGAGTGTCATATGCACTATTGCAACTAGATAGCAATGAAGGCTGAGATTCTATCATATATGTCTCTGTAGTTTGGGTGTCAAAAAAAAAAAAAGATGATGTTAAGTTGATGTTAGTATTATGTTAGGTAGCATTGTTGTTTTGATACCCTTAATTGTCAATTCTATAATCACATATATGTGTAACATTTTTCCTTTGAAAGATATTTTTTATTTTTTTATTTTAAATTTAGTGTATAATTTTTATGGACAACTCTGTTAGTGGATTGATAATCTTTTGATTTCCCCTTCAATTTCCAATTTAACTAAATTTTCATCTGTTTATGTTTCTCCAAATAGATCTGCTAAAAGATTTGGTGTCCCCAAGGGATTTTGATGCTGCCACTCATCTGGCCCTCATCAATGCTGTCTATTTCAAGGGGAACTGGAAGTCACAGTTTAGACCTGAAAATACTAGAACCTTTTCCTTCACTAAAGATGATGAAAGTGAAGTACAGATTCCAATGATGTATCAACAAGGAGAATTTTATTATGGTAAAACATTTTGTGTTTTTTCTTTCTTTCCTCTTGTAGCATATTGACAGATTTCTAAGAAAGAACATGAAATATTCACTACTCACACTCTTTGTTGATCTAATTTGGGCTACAATTCAGTTTCCTTGGCTGCATTTTCAAAGACTTGTAATTAGATATTGAGTGAATATCATATACATTGACAGTTTTCCAATATGTTTCTTAAATTTATAAAGCTGATCCCACCTGCTGAGTGGGCTTTATTCATCCAAAAAAAAATCTGGCATTGTGCAAGAATGTTCTGATTTATTCTATAAATCACTGACTTTGGGATGTTTTTAGTGTACTATGTGATTCATTAAAAGATTTGAGTTTCTTATCACCTTTTGATTTATAAGCATTCTTGTTACACAAGAACTTTTCCATATCTTTAAAATTTTGATAGATATCAAGTGTGTGTGTGTGTGTGTGTGTGTGTGTGTGTGTCCCCAGAAATCATTGTTCCTTCACAGTTTCAATTATTGATAGTCTACAGTTTGTGGTCAAATATATTATTTAATTTCTTTGGCATTATTTTCAAAGATGTTTTATGGCACCCTTTAAAGTTTCTTCCTAAATACAAAATTGAATTGTAATAATTTGTTAAGTCATAAGCAGAAATGTATTTTAAGCCAAATATATGTTAGAATATTCTATTTCAGAGTATGTTTAATGTTGAAAGACTATAATTCCTGTTAATCAAGTTAACAGTCAAATTATGAAAGAAAAATACCCACTTATATGAAAATCAAAATGTTTAGTTTGATGTCTAAAAAAACCTATGTCCACTATAGGAAAATATTCATAACAAAAGCATTACACTTATTTTTGAAAATGGAGAAAATTTAAAGCAGTGGGTCATAAGTTTTATTTTTGTTGCTGTTTTTAAAAAGACTTTTTAAAGCCCAAATAATTTGGCTAAGTTCATATAATACAAAGCCAATTTACCGTGTTTACCTAATTACCTAATTTGGAGATCTTATTCATCATAAATACACTAGACGACTCTTGAAGGAGGCTTAGATTTCATTTCAGCTGTGTACCCTTGGCCTTAAAATTTAAAGTTGTGGTGATATCAGAGTACCAAGTATTTCAAAGTCAGGTTTCCCATTCTTTGAAAATAGGCAGAGGCTGGCTCAGTGGCGCATGCCTGTAATCCTAGCAGCTCTGGAAGCAGAGGCAGGAGGATTGGGAGTTCAAAGCCAGCCTCAGCAATTTAACTAGGCACTAAGCAATTCAGTTGAGACCCTGTCTCTAAATAAAATACAAATAGGGCTAGGGATATGACTCAGTGGTCAAGTGCCCCTGAGTTCAATCCCCAGTACCCCCACCCCCACCAAAAAGGGCAGATAATGATAAATGTGCTTTGTGTCCAACTTGAAGCCAGGGCTTTGTTGTTCTAACCAGAGTTTTTCATTGTTGCTAATGATACTCTTTAAATATATTGAAAAATCTCATTTGAAAAAATAAGTTTAGAGAATAGGTTATAACTATGTGAAATAATTCTGAGGATTTTAAAATTAAATAAATTTTACAGGACTGAGGAATCATTTAAATTTCAGGGTGTATTTTCAAATGAACTGTTTTTTTCAGATGACAGAATTTCTTATTTCACACGAACTAGAACAAGAAAGTTATGATAAATTTAATTTTTTTTAAATGGGCCGTTTACAATATTTCTTTCCTTTTTTTAGGGGAATTTAGTGATGGATCCAATGAAGCTGGTGGTATCTACCAAGTCCTAGAAATACCATATGAGGGAGATGAGATAAGCATGATGCTGGTACTGTCCAGACAGGAAGTTCCACTGGCCACTCTGGAGCCATTGGTCAAAGCACAGCTGATTGAAGAATGGGCCAACTCTGTGAAGAAGCAAAAAGTGGAAGTATACCTGCCCAGGTGAGGGGTCCTATGTGATCCCTCCCACAGCATGAGGGGATGGGTTGACTCAGAAACATTCTTGCAATTGTTTTTGAATTTTTAAGTGTCCTCCTCTCTCTCCTTCCCCACCTCTTTCTTCTTTTCCTTTTTCTGCTCTTTCAGATTCTTTCATACTCAAATGGTCCTGCTCAGAGACATACATTCATTTATTGATTCATTCAGTACAATAAACAAGACCCATGTTCAGATATTATTCAATATCCTTAGCTTCATTCTATAAGATTTTTTTCAACCAAATGTCTCCAAATTTCATTTGCTTTGATAGTCTTTTGTAAATCGTTATGAAAGTTGATTACAGCTCAAGAGAAAACTATCTCTGTCATTAAGAACTGCAAGAAAGTCACTTTGCTAGGTGCTGAGATATAACCATAAATAAGCAAGAAGAAGCAACTGTGCTCACAATGAATAAGGTCCGTGCTACCAGAATGTCCTGACCACCATTCACTCCATCTGCCTCACCTCTGGCCACTCATCACATCAACATTTGGTAGCATGTTCTATCCATGTGCTTGTAGTATTGCCATATGCACCTGTTCTTTTCATGTCTGGGTCTCCATTTATTTGCATTAACCAAAATGTCCTCCTCACATTTTGTTGCCCCAAATTGTTTATTTAGGCTTTAGGATCACCTTGGACACAGTTCTTCTAGAAAGCCCTCCATGAAGTGCCTGTTGAAGTGGGTGATCCTCCCTCTTGCTTACTTTTGCACCTCCGTATTATTATCTGTTACCATCCCACAATAACGTTACCTTTTGTGAGTCTTGCTTTCCTTCTGTGATTTAAGAGTAGTGCCACTTTTCTGACCCATTAAAGGGACATGGTAAGTGAAAATATTTATTCTATCTTTGAATACCTTAAAACCTAGTAGGAAAGTTACATCAGTTACCACATATAATCTGTCTATTGACATAATGTGTATATTTCAACTAGAAAACAAGACATATCAGTATATAACAGATCATCTATGTGTATATGTGGCAGCACAGTTTTAACACTCATTAAGAAAATGTGTTCATATATGAATATTGAAAGTTGGTAAATAAGACAATAATATTGAAGCTGAATTATTAAAACTCATTCATATTTATTCTGATTTAGGAATTTTTATTTAAATGTTAGTTATGTCTTATGTAAATGCCTATTTTTCAAAAAAACTTAGTTGATTTTTTGGTGTATGTTAAGGAGATCTATTTGAAACTGCAGATATTTTTGGCTAGAAAGTTATGTTATATATTCATAATCTACCCCAACATAACATATAACCACACATACCATTGTCTGCTTATAAAAAAGGTAATAACAACCCAAATTGCTCAATTATTTTAGTTTTGGCTAGGAGATTAATATGTATCATTTTCCTTGACAGTAGTTTTCTTTTTTTAATTAAAGCTTTATAGTTATACATAGTAGCAGAGTTCATCCTGACAAACATATATCAGGCAAATTGATTTCAGTTCATGATCCCCACCCTTTTCTCCTCCCATCTGCCTTCCCCTCCCATGTTCTCTTTCCTCCACTCTCCTAGGCTTTCTTTCACTCATCTGTTTGTTTGTATTTGATTGCTTTTTTCTCCCTGTGCATAAAAGTGAAGTTCCTTGTGGTATATTTATATATGCACATATATGAGTTTTAAAGAATTCATTCTGCATTGCCTCCCCTTACCTATCCCTCTACTCTGTCTCTTGATTTCTTTCTTCTACATTACTGATCTTCCCTTTATGTTATCCTATCCTTCCCTCCTCTTTTTCTTTATTTTATTGTAGCTTCTGCATATGAGAGAGCATTTAACCTTTGAGTTTCTGAGTTTGCCTTCCTTTGCTTAACATTATAGTCTCCCTTTTCCATGTATTTACTGGTAAATGCCATAATTTTATTCTTTTATTATGGCTGATTAGAACTCCATTTTGAGTAAAAAAAAAAAAAATATATATATATATATATATATATATATATATATAGAGAGAGAGAGAGAGAGAGAGAGAGAGAGAGAGAGAACTCCATATATATGGATTTATATATATGTGAATTGTGCTTCCATAAACATTAAGGTGGCTATATCACTGTATATAGCCACCTTAATGTTTATATACCAATCTTAGATCTTTTAGGAAAATACCAGAGAGTGAGATAGCAAGGTCATTTGGTGGTTCTATCCTTGGTTTTCTGAGTAATCTCCATACTACTTTGCAGAGTGGTTATACTAGTCTTCACTCTCACCAAGAATGTACAAGTGTACCTTGCCCCCCACAACCTCACCAGCATTTATTATTATTTGTATTCTTGATCATTGCCATTCTGACTCGTGTGAGATGAAATCTTAGTGTAATTTTGATTTGCATTTCCCTGATTGCTAAAGATGTTGAACAAACATGTTTTTTGGCCATTTGTGTTTTTTTCTTTTTAAGAAATTTCTGTTTAGTTCTTTGCCCGTTTATTGACTGGGTTATTTTGGGGTGTTTTTTAGTTTGTTTGTTTGTTCATTTTTTTGGTGTTAAGTTTTTTGAGTTGTTTGTAAATTAATCCCTTATTGGAGGAGTATCTGACCAAGAATTTCTCCTACTCTATGGCTCTCTCTTCATGTTCTTCCTCATTTCCTTTGCTGTGCAGAAGCTTTTTGGCTTGATAGCATCCCACTTATTGATTCTTGGTTTTATTTCTTGTGCTTTGGGGGTCTTGTTAAAGAAGTTGGTGCCAGCACCTATGTGATAGAATGTTGACCATTTTCTTCTAGAGGTTGTAAGGTTTCTGGTCTGATACGTAAGTCTTCAGTCTATTTCAATTTGAGGTTTTTTGCAGGGTGAAAGATAGGTTTCCAGTTTCATTTTTCTACATATCCAGTTTTCCCAGCATCATTTGTTTAAAAGGCTGTCTTTTCTCCACAATTTATTTTTGGCACCTTTGTCAAATATCAGTCCTCTGTAGGTATATGGATTTGTCTCTGCATATTGTATTCTGTTCCATTGATCTTCCTGTCTATTTTGATGCTAATACCATGCTGTTTTTGTTACTACAGCTCTGTAATATAATTTCAGATCAGGTATTGTGATGCCTCCTGCTTTGCTTTTCTTGCTTAGTATTTCTTTGGCTGTTCTGATTCTCTTATTCTTCCAAATGCATTTGAGAATTGTTTTTTCTAATTCTGTGAATAATGTCATTGGTATTTTGTTGGGAACTGCATTAAATCTGTATATTGCTATTGATAGTATGACCATTTAAATAATATTTATTCTGCCTATTCAAGAACATGGGATCTTTCCATCTTCTAAGGTTTTCTTTAATTTCTTTTTCAATTTTCTTTGATTTTCATCATAGAGCTCTTGTATTTCCTTGGTTAGATTAATTCCCAAGATTTTCTTTTCTTTTGAGATTATTGTGAATAGTGCGATTTTTCCAATTTCTTCCTTGGTTGAAACACTGTTGTAGTATAGGAAAGCTATTTATTTTGGGGAATTGATTTTGTATCTCCTACTTTGCTAAATTCATTTATAAGCTTTAGAAGTCTTCTGGCGAAGTTTTCTTTTTTGGGGAGTGGGGGGTCTTCTAAATACAGGATCATGTCATCAACAAAGAGAGATAGTTTGACTTCTCTTATTTGTAGCCCTTTAATTTCCTATTCTTGTCTGATTGTTCTGGCTAATGGTTCAAGGATTGTATTGAATAGGAGTAGTAAGAGTGCATTGTCTTGTTCCTATTTTAGAGGAAATGCTTTTAGTATTTCTCTATTTAGTATGATATTGGCTTTGGGTTCCGTTGTAAGTGGCCTTTACAATGTTGAGGTAAATTCTAAATGGGTGCTGGATTTTATCAAAAGCCTTTTCTGCATCTATTGAGATGATAATTTGATTCTTGTCTATAATTCTAAGTGGTGAATTAAATTTATTGATTTGCCTATGTTGAACCAACATTGCCTCCCTGGAATGAAACCTAATTGATCATGGTATATCATTTTTTTGATGTTTCTGAATGCAGTTTGCTAATATTTTATTAAGGGTTTTTGCCCCTATATTCCCTGGGAATATTGGTCTGTAGTTTTCTTTCCCTGGTGCATCTTTCCTTTTTGGTATCAGGGTTATACTGGCTTCGTGGCATGTATTTGGGAATGTTCCTTCGCTTTCAATTTTATGGAAAATTTTGGAAAGACTGGTGTTAGTTCTTCTGTAAAGGTCTGGAAGAACTCAGCTGAGAATTCATATGGCCTTGTGCTTTTATTTTGGAAGATTTTAATTGCTGTTTCAATTTTATTACTTGATATTGGTTTCTTTAGGTTTTCTATATCTTCCTGATTCAGTTTATGCAAGTCACATATGTCTAGAAATTTGTCAATATAACAATAGGTTTCTACAGAAAGATGTCACTGTGATTCTATTTTCAAGGAGAAGTAGTCAGTGAATACCTAACAAAACCAATTTTGAAAATATATAATTGACTTTAACATACTTAATATATAAACAATGTATCTTAACTCCAAAGAACAATATTCTTTTAAACAGTAATAATTCAATTTAAATTATTATCTAAGTTAGGTCTGAAAGGAAAATGAGGAACTAGGAGATGAGCAAGTGAGAAATGAAAGATGGAGACCAGGCAGAGATTCAAAGGAGATTTTATTTGTCAGAGCTGACAAATAAAAGCCCATCTCTCCATAGATGGAGAGAGGCAACACAGGCTTGAGTTCTGGGACTTTTGTGGGGCAGGCTCAGAGATTATTAGAGCTAGGCGGAGTGTTAAAGGTGGGGTTGGTATGAGGGAGTTGTGAGCCTTTCTCAGAAAGGCCCTGAAACTTTTTCTTAAAAATGACAGCTGTCACTTAAGATGGCTGTCTAGATGTTTAGCAAGGACCTTACAAGGTCTAACCTTGCAAACCGTTTAGTCCATGTTAACCATCATTTAGTGAAATTTTATTATTATTTTTGTATTTTCCCTTGAATTTTATAGAAAATTTCTTTTGATAATATGAGAAATTCAATGCAGTACTAATGCTTCCCTTATTAAATTCCATAAGTTAATTATACTCTCTGCAAAAGCTTCAATTCTGTGAAGATATAGTCATTTTGGAGTATTTTAACAGAATGCTAAATGAATACTTAATAAGTATTATATATTCTAATTCGACCACGTTCATAAGAAAATGTGGCCTTCGGGTGCTGTCCACTGAGAAATTGAATATGGCAGCAGAAGAAAATTAAATTTTCATTTTCTAAGAAATACTCTTCAATTATGAAATAGTTTAGCTCACTTGCTCATGTTAATGCCTGTTACTAAACCAGGCACAGCTAACACCATACTATCCATTTTTCCAGGAGTTCTACAAACTTTCCTTCTGCATGGCTAATGCACAGATGAGAAGGCTAACTAAATAGTTAAATAAGATAAAATTTGTTTCCCTTTTTAACAGATTGACAGTTGTAAAATACTTGCATGTTCTAGTAACCAATGGGAAACTGTCCATTCCCTCCATTTTATAGCATTAGGGTCCACTAAATGTTCAATGAAGGTAATGATTTGTGTGACCCAGTTTCAGCAAAGGTAAAAATATTTCTAATAGCTGTATTCTAGGTTTACTCTGTATCAAATTATTTGTATAGTTTTATTCATGTAGAGTTATTATTCTGAAAATGCAAACTTGCATTTCTGTAATTTGACCACGTTCTTGTCCTGCTTGAGAGGGCAAATTGCATTTCTGTAATTTGACCTGCTTGAAAGAACAAACTTGGGTTTCTATAATTTGACCAAATTCTTTTCCTGCTTGAAAGATACTTTTGCTTTCTACCAGACTGGATCTTATACAAACATATTCTAAACAATCTCCTTAACAAGTATAGGGTATTTGGCAGGTGAAGTGGAGAAGGAGCAATTACTTTTGTGCTCTTCTGATTTTTTTACCCCTGAACGATAGATTCCACAAGAACTAGATGCTGAATTGAAATTGAACTTTTATTCAAAATACAAAAATGTATGTAAGATGCTATACCTCCTTGTTATATTATCAAACCCAGTGAAATACCACAATGTTTATACACAGTTGTACATCTTTAAGATTTAAAGAAGATTGCCAGATCTTCTTCCAATTTTTTCACTACAGCAACAACAACAAAAAACAATTGTCTAATATATAAAATATATGTGTATATATCTAAAAAGCACTTTGGAATAATACCTAACAAAGAGTAAGAATCATATGGTTATTCTATTATTGTTTATTGGCTAAGTGTTCATTTTAAGTCCTAGTACTTATTTTGTGTTAATCTTATAGGCAGCTTTACATATACTTTTATCTGAACAGCTAAAAAAAAAAAAAAAAAAAAAGCACTGTCCTCTCTTGAATTTTGCTCTCTTCCTTGTCAGTCTTTACTTAGGTGTGAGAGTATCTTTCTAGAATCAACATCAAATATCATAATACTTATTATGGAAATGCACCTTGCTGTGCTCTCATTCCATCTGATTTTTGTAGTCTCAGATTTCTCATTTTTGATCAGAGTACTGGAAATCAAAAGATGTGAAGTACTGCTCCATTTTGTAACCACCAACCATCCTGTTGCTTTGAAACTCTTATCTATTAATAAAGCATTTTAGTTTCTTGTGTTTAAAAGACAAATATCATAAGCCATATGATTTTGTTCTTTAAAATGAATGCTCTCTTTTGGGTTTTTCTACAAAAAGTTTGATTATTTCTCGACTGCTTACAGATTTTATAATCTTCTACATGGGATATATATTTTTTTCTAACACTTGTTTCACATTTCTTCTCAGCTTTCATGCTTCTTCCCTTTACATGACTCTTGAACTTACTCAAATAGAAAGTTTCAAGTGTATGATGATATTATTTGTCTTTGTTAAAATAGGTATTCCTTTTGTCTTTAAAAATAGTGATGGGGCTGGGAAGTAGCTCAGTGATAGAGCTCAGTGATAGCATGCATGAGGACTGGGATTTGATCCCCATTACCTCAAAAAAGTAAATAAAAAATAAAAAGTAGTGTTGTGGCTTTTTATTTTAAAAAGTGAAAAGTACAATCTCCCTGTAGTGTTTTTTTTGTTTGTTTGTTTTGTTTTTAAAAACCATTATAGTGATTGGTGAAAGACCTTAGTTCATATCCTCATATTCTACCACCTGTTACCTGTGTACTTAGGTCAAGTTGCACAACTTTTCTAAACTTCTATTTGTTCTACATCTTAGAGAAAAATAATACCTATCATTTTGCTTTTTGAGATCATGATGGGAGGGATTAAATGGGATACTACAAGTACAGTGATTTTCATAGTGCCTGGGACATAGGAAGCATTCAAGATAGGGAGATGACAAAGATTATTTATATTAATAATTAGTCTATATTAAGAGGAAAGATATAACAATTGAATTACAACAATTTTCAATGGGTTATCAAGGAAAATAGGTAAAACATGGATAAATGGAGATTATTTACATCTTTCTTTAACTTTGAACAAAACATCTTATGAACTCCAAGATTTTATTTCATTTTGATCTATATGGTTTGTCCTATGCAAGATATTATAAATACTGGAATGAATAAATACTAGATTTAACTAATTTATGATTAAAGTAGCAGGGACTAATCTAGTTATTTAACCAAATTATTCCAAATACTACTAGTACGCAAACATGGAGCACCTATGATTACATGACATATAATATGATACGCAGTGTTGATAGTTTCTGCCCTACACTGCATGTCCACCCATGCCATCCCCATCTGAAGATTAATAGAGACTTTGCTTATCTTTTTAACAATATTTTGAAGTACATATTATAATTGCCGTTTTCCACATGCAAAATTGAGGGTCAACAATTAAGCAACTCGCTCAAGTTCACCTGGATAAATTTCTTATCTTTGCCTGACCGGCCAGCCAGAGTATGAAACAAATCAAGTTGCTTTTAAGAAGTATAAAGAACCCACTACTGGTGTTTTCTTTTACTTTCCTATTTTAAATGAATCAGGATATTATATAATTCTACTTGAATCTAGATTCCACCTCTGCCACTTAATAGCTGAACGATCTTGGTCAAGTTATTTAACCTTCTGCCACTTAGTTTCTTTTTTTCTATTACCTGAGAATAATACTAATAATACCTGCCTAGTGGTGTGACATTTAAATTAATGTGGTGTTTAAACATTTGGGACAGTTCTTGATGTATAGGAAGCTCCTTATAAGTGCTCAAAAATAAACACACACACACACACCCTGAGCCATTGGGTGTGTTCTCTGAGACACTGGATTTTCTCACCTGTTCCTTTTGTGAGCTGTGCACCCTAGAACAATTCTATTTTCATGATCAGTGTTTACTTTTGGTATAAAACAAAATAAATAATATTAAATCCAAGTTAAAGTATAAAATGTGGTAGAATTCAATATTTACATCAATATGTTTGATATTGCATATAACCTGTCTGTTGAACTTATTTTTCCATAAGCATAAACCTGCTAAAACTGATTTTCCATGATCAATCCTCTTCATATCTGGGCTTGTTTATAAAAATTATTTCCTTCTAGTTCTTCTTAAGACATCAGAAATATTGCTGATATAATTTTAGTAACTGTCATAGATATAGCTCATTTAAAGGCATAATCTATTGCCTAAAAATTTATATTTATAAGCTGTATTTATCAAAAGGCAATATCTTATAAAAAGGAAAATGTTTATTCTGACCAGTATTTATGATTTCTTAAAAATTAATAAACATCTTTCCTTTTTAAAAGTGTATGTGTTAATGTAGGCATGTTGGTTCATAATTGTCACTAGAAAGATTGGTGATACAATTCATTGGTTTGGGGGAGATTCCATATTAACCAATATGGTTCTAGTGTGGAAACCATTTTTAAAGTTAATATTCTGTTTATTACCACTACATTTAATGTTGTTTTTCTTTTTACAAAATTGGTGCACATTTATGTATAACCCATTAAGTACATAAAAATAAAAAAATTAAAAGCCACTTTTATTTTGTTTAAAAAACTCTTCATTATAAATGCCTACAGTTTTTAGAATGTGATATTTTACTCAGTTTCACTGATCAGTGATGATATTTTGATAACACCCTTATTTATGTTCTCAAAGTTAGTTTAACTATGAAGACGCATATTTAATGTGATAGTTGTTGTGGAGTTGAAATGCTGAATGCATTAATTTTATAGCAGAACTTGTCTCTTATTTAACCCTGCCCATGGTAGAGTGTGGATGAGCAGCATAAATTGACCAAAATACTAAGTAAAAAATAAAATACATTGGATAAATTTATGATTATTACCAGCTTGAAAAATCAAACATAGTAGATACTAGGTCAAAAGATTTTGAAAGATACTTGTTTATAAGATTTACATAGTAATTAATGATTCTTGATCTCAAAATTCATTTATTCGACTATATCTTGCAGTTTTGTCTGTATCATATTTTTTCTAACTCATGAAATTAAATCTTATTCTGTTACATCATGTCTTTGATGCCCCCTGTTTTTAAAAGAACAATCAAATGCTTCTTGCAATCAAAAGCCAAGTTTAGCAGTGCATGGTGGTGCTGCATACACTTGTAATCCTAGCTGCTAGGAAGGCTCAGACAGGATGGTTGCAAGTTCAAAGCCAGCCCCAGCAATGGCAAGATGCTAAGCAATTCAGTGAGACCCTGTCTCTAAACAAAATACAAAATAGGGCTGGGGATGTGGCTCAGTGTTTAAGTGTCCCTGAGTTCAATCCCCAGTACCCACCCCTGAAAAAAACCAAGTTTTAACATAATTTACCCTCTACAAAATAGAGGTTTTGAATCAACATATTTAACGGTTAATTCTTGTCCAAAGTAACAAGATTCTGTAACTAAATACTTTCCCCCTATGTTTTCCAGGTTCACAGTTGAACAGGAAATTGACTTAAAAGACATTTTGAAGGGTCTTGGAATAACTGAAATTTTCATCAAAGATGCAAATTTGACAGCCCTGTCTGGTAAGAAATGAATACCAATTTTTAAGAAACATTATTCTTTACAGAATAACATAATGCTTTTAAAAACAGGATTATTAAATTTTCTATTTACCATGGAATTCAGAAGTAAAGTTCAGCTACCACTTGCCAAGTAAATCTAGCAAGAAGTTTATTTAACTTCTTCAAGTAAAACTATGAATACAGTTATAACATTAAGTTTGTATTATGTGGTGTATGTCTTGTCTTTGAAAGTAGATCATATTCTCCAGGAGATCATCCCTTCTGACACAATGCCTTGTAGAATCAATAAGTGTGTTGATTGAATATCTCAATATGTTCCAGTGTAATGAATCATAGTAAAGAAGAGAAAAGATAAATGAGTGCCCCCTGCTGTAAGGACTAGACCAAAGATTCTTTTTAAAGAATAAAGAATACCCAGTGAGATGATGTAAACCTTTTTCTGAGTCTTCAATAAAAAGCAGTGTTTTTGAAGAAGTAACTTCAAAGTACATAGGCTCACTGAGGTGTTGAGTAATTTGTTCTAAATACCCCAAGGAAAAATCAAGTTGAATTACTGGATTCAGAACCTTAACTTGTTCCGAGTAAAAACTAATGAAATGTTGGTAACATTAAAGCATTTAGAATGTGTAATTAAAATAATTTTGGATGTGTTTTTAAGTGGCTAACCCCAAGGAGCTTATCATTGGAAAAAAAAAAAAAGCAATAGTGAGCTTAAGGCTTATATTATTTTATATCATTTCTTTGGAAGGCAGGAAAAATAGAATCTGGTTTCTGATCGTATAAGGATAGTTATATAGTAAGATCAAGCAACTCAATTTGCATGTCCCCTTTATATGCAATTTAATTGAACCCTCTTCTTCATTTAGAGAGCATGCAGGTAATAGATGTTTTTTTTTTTTGTTGTTGTTGTTGTTGTTTTTTTTAGCAGTTCCCATGTTACAAGGAAGAATTTAGGCTATAAACAATTAAGTTCACCAAACTATAGCTTCTAAACCTCGACTGAATTCAATGAAAACAGATGCCCCCACTTCTGAAATTGCTTAGGGGGCACATACGTATGTGTGTGTGTGCACACGTTCGTGTGTGTGTGTGTGTGTGTGTGCGTGCGCGCATGTGGACACAATTTTGTTAGCATGTGTGCATATGAGAGAGAGACAGAGAAGGGGGTCATAGCTTTTAAAAAATGCTCAAGGAGTATGTGATCAGATAATCCCTTATCCTCCCGGATTTTGTATTGTGTAGATTGTTTTCTAAGCAGCATGCAGCTTCTGGCAGTGAGTTGATACTGATGTATTTGGTACCACAACTTCTATCTACCTTTCATTCAGAGAGCTTACAGCCCTAAGCACTAATGGAGCTTTTCTAAATGTCTATGATATAAATGTTCCTGTCTACAAAAGAGAAATGAGTTTTTCCTGAGTAAAGTTTTCATGACTCATATCCAAGTTCTTAGGGCTTGGAACTCCTCATTGGGGTTGCCAAGAAGGTAGGACTGTTGGAGATTCAAAAGATCATATGGTGTCTCTTAGCTGAGTCAGAAATACATTAATAGTTGAAGCACAGCACAACTTAAAGTTGGAATGCTCTCTTCCTCAGGAATGAAGAGAATCTGTCTTACAATACTGGCCAAATTCCAACTGGATAATTATATTCTCCTTTCTCAACATTCTCTCTATTCAGTTTGATTAGTGATTCCTCACTGCCTCACCCAAACATTCAGGCAGTTATTTTACACAAATACAATATCTTCTGCCTCTCTGTCCTGAGGGAGTAGCACTGCAGCGGCAAATCAATTATTGTGGTCAGTGTACCTTATAATTTCCGACATATTTGGAAGGTTTATAAGGTAATATTTAATTGCCTTTACTATGTACAGAGACAATGGACCATAAATATGCAGTATGAATGCAGATGGTTTGGAGATTTGAAATGACACTAGAATCACTCAGAGAATTTATATATTCTCTATGCAAAAAAAAAAAAAAAATCTGTTTATTTGATCAAATCTCCATGAGGATCAAATCCTGCCCAGTGTCCTGTTCACAGATCCTGTTCTGGTACCTGGCACAGGGCTGACACACACATGGCACACAGCAATGTTTACAGAAGGATAAAATGAATGGAGGGAAAAAGGGAAAAGTTTTCTTTGCACACATCTTAAACATTACATTTATTAGAATATTTGTCTTCTTATAATATCACTTAGAAATCTAGCATTTGATATTCTTAAGCACCATCCAGTTCAGATCTTCAGGATCACTTGAAAGAACAAAAGCCAATCTCTCAAAATTTCAGCAGGAATTATTTGATATGTATGTTATTAGCTTGATCAGAGTGTTGGTAGCTCTAGCAGTGATGATCATTCCAACTAATACATGTAGCTTTTCTTTTCTGTCCCTTTCTTCCTCTCTTGCTCTTTCTTTCTAATTAATTTTTGAATAATTCACTCAAAAACTATCTACTGTCCCAAGTATAAAATTTCCCTCTCTACTTCCTCTAAATTTGATAGCATTTATCTCTGCATCATTTATTTGGACACCAAATGCTCTGCCAGTGCTAGTTAGTATCCTAACTAGTATATAGCTCGATTGTTGCCTCTCCAAATAGCATGAAAACTAAGTAACATGAAAACTTATAATTCTAACATAACCTACCAAACTACCCAGGAAAATGATTTGCATGCATTTGGTTATTATTTTTTTTAGAGAGGATTTGATGGTGATGAGGATATGTAACATTAATTGCCTTCCATGCCGTTTTTTCCTTTCATTAAACAACTGCTAGAGAGGCAGGTAGATGAGAAAAGTGCTATATAAGGAAAAAGAAAAAAGAAATGATTGTGATGTCATGCCTGACATAAAAGGTTTGAAGGACTTATGGTAGAAAGACATAACAGCTGGGTTTAATAAAATTAAGACTGATACACATGTTTTATTGAAACAGTGGTTCTCAACAAGGATGATTTCTTTTTCCCTGCCCCACACTCCCAGGGAACATTTGTCCTTTTTGGCTATTACAATTGGGGGATTTGTCTACCTACTGGACACATTGCTCTAAACTTTTGCAATGCTTGGGACAGGTTCCTTAAAACAAAAAATTACCAATACAAAATGTCAATAGTAAAGAGGTTAAGGAGCCTTCCATGAGAGCATGCATAATGGAAGCAGAAAAGAAGAAAATTAAGTGGCAAATGGGAGCTGTTGAATCAAAGGCAGAGGAGAGTATGTGTATGCATGTGTATTGGTTTTTGAATGAATAGGACATTTTCAAACTGCGTTTCAAAAAGTGATAACAGCAGTTGCCTCTAGAACAGGAGCTTGTTAGATGAGAGCATTTTCATTTCATACATCACTCTTCACTGGAATTTTGCCTTGTGTGCATATTACTTTTTCAATTAAAATTCTTAGCTAAAAATTAGAAAAGGTGTTTTAATATTATATTAATGGAATTAATATAATTGGTACACTTGAAAGCACCCAGTGAACAATTCAGTCCTACCATGACATTGATACATTCTTCAATTATATAATGAAAATTTTATCTTTCTTCCAAAGTAGCAAATGTGATTTAGAAAATAGAGAACAAAAACTGCTTCACCTTCTCTTGCTTCCTGAAAAATGGAATGACTTGAGTTCCTTTGCTAAGACTTCTGGGATCCACTCTATCATGAAATTGCATTCCACTGCATCCACTCTTATTTCAGACTCTTATTACCCCTGCCCTGGACTATTTCAATAGCCTTCTAATAGTTTCCAATCTCTCTCCAGTCTAATATGTCTCATCCACCACTACTAAGAAAATTCACCTTAAGACCCACCCACTCTCAGATCATTCCAAGTCTTGTTCAAAGCCTGCTTTGGTCTGCAGTGCCATCCACTGCTCCACAGGGCCTGAGACCTCAGCTCCCTCCAGCCTTTTTTTCTGGCTGATTCTTCACACACTACTTGTGCTCCAGCTGTGTGTCTCATCTCCCCAGCTCCCCACGGTTATGAAATCTCCCCTGTCTGAAATACTTTTTTTTTTCTTCCTTTCTTTGTACCAAGGGTTGAACCTAGGGGTACTCTACCATTGAGCTACATCCCCAGCCCTTTTTACTTTTCATTTTGACACAGGGTCTCACTAAGTTGCTGAGGCCGGCACAGAACTTGTGATCCTCTTGCCTCAGCCTCCTGAGTCATTGAGATGACTGATATATGCCACCCTGCCCAGCTCTGAAACACCATCTGAACTCAGTCTCAGCTGAAGTATCCCAACTTCAAAATCAAGCTACCATGATTATACCAACCAGAAGTAATCACTCTTTAAATTCCTGATATTTTGTACCTTTCTTTATGGTGCATATCACATCTTATCTCATATTATTGTTACTTTTGTGTTTAACATTCCCTGATAGAATTTAGACAACCCAAAGATAGATTCTTATGCATGTTTCCTCAGAGTCCCCCACAGTGCTTCCTGCTTAGTTCTCACTGAATGGAGAAAAGAATAAGATGAGATGCTTCATATTTTTTATGTTTATTTCTTCATTTCAATTTGATATACGTTGCTTTTGATGCTAAATTCCATTAACATAAAACACAGTAAATACTCATACAGTAAACAGAGAGAGTGCTGAGAATCATTTTCTTCTCAGGCTACATTTAAAATGCTCATCTAGTTGCGGTAAGGATCCTGCTATAGAGTGGGGCTATTTTTGTAATGGAAATGAATGACTGTCAGCATTTGGATTAATAGGTAATCCTCTTGGAAGGTGTAAGGGGAAAGAGAAAGTGAGTACTAAATCCTTCAGCATGAAGTATGAGCTTTAATAAAGAAGCCAATAAAATAAAGGAATTAAGAAGACAAAGAGAAAGCCACATTCAGGTCAGGCTCAAGTGCTGTGGATTTACGCTGGACCAGCTCCTACATCCTGCCCTTGTTTGTTCTCTTTCTCCTTGCACCTGAAGTGCCAGAGGGTTCGTTTCTCTTTCATTGCTACAATTCCAGTTCTGCTTCTGCCT